TTCATGACAGTACAATTAGAAAAATAGGTGACAAGTATGGCATGTTTGGAAGGCTTGCCAGAAGAAAGCCTCTTCTATAAAAAAAACAAACAAACAAACAAAAAAACATGGCAGCACGGTTTAGGTTTGCAAAGTTGCATCTGAACAAACCGTAAGACTTCTAGAACAATGTCCTTTGAACAGATGAGACCAAAGTGGAGATGTTTGGCCATAATGCACAGTGCCACAATTGGTGAAATCCTAAAGAGCATATCAGCACAAACACCTCATAGCAAAAGTCACACATGCTGGTGGAGTGCTGATGATTTTGGGCTTGTTTTGAAGCCACAGGACCTGGGCACCTCACAGTCATTGAGTCGACCACGAACTCCTCTATATACCAAAGTATTCTAGAGTCAAATGTGATGCCATCTGATCCGACAGCTAAAGCTTGGTCAAAACTGGGTCACGCAACAGGACAATGATCCCAAGCACACCAGCAAATCTACAACAGAACGGCTGAAAAGAAAAGAATCAAGGTGTTGCAATAGCCCAGTCAAAGTTCAGACCTCATCCTGACTGAAATGCTGTTTTGAGAGCTGTGCATATACAAATACCCACAAGCCTCAATAAACTGGAGCAACGTTGTAAAGAAAGTGGGCCCAAATTCCTCCAGAACAATGTGAGAGACTGATAAAGTCATACAGAAAATGATTACTTCAAGTTATTGCTGCTAAAAGTGGATCTACAGGCAACTGAATCATAGGGTGTCCTAAGTTTGTCACACATGGCTTTTCCATCTTGGCTTTATGTCATGTGATGTTGCTCATCTGAGGATTTATTTTCCAAATTTTAAAACCTGCCAAAGACCAGATAATTTTTTGTTATTATTCCTTGATAAAGAAAACCATGGAATTCAGTAGGGTGTCCTAACTTTTTCACATGACTGTATACATGCACAATTTCTATTATTTTAGCTGCTGACCAAAGCATATTGAAGTTACAGTTATACTGTATAATGAATATGGAGCTTTAATTTGAGGGTATTCTCATCAAAATTGGAGGAAAGGTTAAGGAATTACAGCTCTTTAATATGTACCACCCCCTTTTTCAAGGGACCATAAGTAATTGGACAATTGACTCAAAAGCTGTTTCATGGACAGACGTGGGCTATTATTTCTATATGTCTCTATCAATTAAGTTGATTCTTAGTGTGCCATTTGCATTTGGAAGCGGTTGCTGTGAACCCACATCATGTGGTCAAAGGATCTCTCCACACAAGTGAAACAGAAAATTGTTAGGCTTCAAAAAAAAACAAAAAAAACATCAGAGAGATAGCAGGAACATCAGGAGGGGCCAAATAAACCGTTTGGTACATTCTGAGAAAAAAGAATGCACTAGTGAGCTCAGCAACATAAAAAGGGCTGGACGCCCACAATGGACAACAGTGGTGGATGATTGGAGAATCCTCTCCATGGTAAAGAAAAACCCTTTCACTTTCATCCAGCCAAGTGAAGAACACTCTCCAGCAGGTACAGTAGGCGTGTTACTGTCAAAGTCTACAATCAAGAGAAGACTTCACAAGAGCAAATACAGAGGGTTCACCACAAGTTACAAACAAGGCCATCTAAAAGGCCATCCAAACAACAAAAAAAGCCAGACCACTTCTGCAAAAGCATTCTTTGGACGGCTGAAATTAAGATCAACCTGTATCAGAATGACAGGGGAAAAAAAGCATGGAGAAGGCTTGGAACAGCTCATGATCCAAAGCATACAACATCATCTGTGAAACATGGTGGAGCAGTGTGATGGCATGAGCATGCATGGCTTCCAGTGGCACTGGGTTACTGGTGTTTATTGATGACGTGACAGAAGACAGAAGTAACCGGATGAATTCTGAAGTGTATAGGGATATACTGTCTGCCCAGATTCAGTCGAATGGAGCAAAGTTGATTGGGCGGCACTTCATAGTATAAATGGACGATGACCCAAAACACAGCAAAAGCAACCCAGGAGTTTTTGAAGGTAAAAAAGTGGAATATTCTGCAATGGCCAAGTCAGTCTCCTGATTTCAACCTGATTGAGCATGAATTTCACTTGCTGAAGACAAAACTAAAGGCAGAAAGACCCACAAACAAACAACTGAAGTCAGCTGCAGTAAAGGCCTGGCAAAGCATCACAAAGGAGGAAACCCAGTCTCTGGCGATGTCCATGAGTTCCAGACTTAAGGTACTCATTGCCTACAAAGGATTCTCAACAAAATATAAAATTTTTTTGATTTAAAACAGTTTATTTATGATTATATTTATTTGTCCAATTACATTTGAGCCCCTGAAAATGGGGGGACTGTGTATAACAATGGTTGTAATTCCTAAGCATTTTATGTTATATTTTTGTTCAACCCCTTGAATTAAAGCTTAAAGTCTGCACTTCAATTTAATCTTGATTGTTTTATTTTTAATTCTGTTCTGGTGACATACAGAGCTGAAATTATGAAATGTCATAAATGCAATGTCATAAATGCAATGACATAATTAGTAGACACTCAAGTACTATAGAAACATATTAGCTGAGCTCCCACACATTTTTTTTTAGATAATTATGGGCCATTATTCGAAGCATAAACCATAAGATATGTCCACCCTGTCATGGACATATACAGCATATTACTGTTAAATACATTTTCATTGCAAAATTAAGATGCAAATTATATTTTCTGGAAGATATGATGTCCCTTTCCTAAACAGGGTTATTTGTTTGCTTTCAAATTCTAAATACATAAAAGATTTTATGTAAACCATGTGTATTTAAAGAAACTCATACAATTCGCATGTGTATTTTTTCTTATTTGGAGAAAACTGTGATGTTTGGATGCAGTTTTTTGTTTGCATGTTACTGGCCCTACACCTAGCTATTGAACACATTATGTAGATATGATTGAATTATTATTTAAAATATTATTGTAAAATATCAAGATGACGGTAGACCAGCACATGACAGGGTGGACACATAATGCAGAACATTCAAATCATGATAAACTATGACAATGAAACATTTATTCAACTTCTAAAAAAATATAAAAAGAATAATAAATAATATAATTACATCCCCAATCACATTGATATACCCCCC